GTAGAAGCCAAGTGACCCACAATTTTCGAGGAAAGCAAATGACAGTAATTGGAACACTTACCATGGGAGATGCACTATCTAAATCAGGACGTGTTTAGGATAAATGTAGTGAAGCCTTTGTCAGCCCGTGTCATGGAGAGAAGCTGGCATCTCTGTATTCTTAGGGAAGTGAGACAGGGGCATGAAAGAAACACTGACCATGTGCCATAGTGGAGAAGGGAGTTAGCAAGGCGGTGGTGGAACTACCCCGATAACTCTGGGTAGTCATGAACAATAATGGTTTGAATGCACATTAACTTGGGAAGTATTTATCGTGCATTAAGAGAAACGAGTCACCAGTAAAACCATATACTATTTTAGCTCAGTAGCATACCTTCAATGTACGTTTTCTCCTTAGGAGTGGTTTAATATTAGAAGGACATATATTAACTTCTTATCTTTTATAAAAAGGATAATCTCTGGGCAAAGATATGATGAGTTAGTTTAATGTGTGGCTATACTTCTGTAGTTTTCAAAATCTCTATAATGAACATCCATTTAAATATATATATATATATATATATATATATATATATATATATATTTCAGAGGTGGGGTGGGTGCTGGGGGAAAAGAGAGAGACACAGATACAGGGAGACAGAGTTTTTATTTGCTGGTTCACTTCCCTGATGCCTGTAGTGGCCAGGGCTGAGCCAAGGCCCAAACTGGAATCCAGAAACTCAATCTAGGTCTCACCCGGGTGGCAGGAACCCAAGTACTTGAGCCACCCCTGCTGCCTACTGCCTGCATTAGTGGGAAGCTGTAGTCAGGTACGGGAGCTGAGTATTGCATCCAGGTACTCTATGTGGGACATAGGCATTTTAACTGTTAAGTTAAATGCCTGCCTTTAAGGAAGGTTTTTGAAGATGACTTGGTAGCATTAGTGATATTCAGGATAATTAACTGGAAGCAGTTCCAAGGAAGAATGATGGCTAAATGCTATGGTACCAAGTTAACGTGAAACAAAACTTTGTAAAGCCATGTCTCTCTATGTGCATTCTGCACACTTTTAGCACGATAAGAAACAGATGCTGCCATTGACTGAGCACTGGACAGGAGCCAGGCATTAAGCAATTCACATTATACACATAATCCTCTTAATTGCCACCACAACCTTAGGAAGCAGAGATGAGCATTGTTCCCATTTTACAGATGAGGAAACAAATTCGAAAGCAAACATGTCTTTCTCAAGGTCATTATATTATGAGTAGGGGCGGTAGAAATCCAACTCGTGCATATCAACTTCTGAGTCCATGGTAAAAGTACACTGAAACTGTTCATTTTTATTCACAGTTCATATTTAATTTGCATGCAGAGATTTAGACCACACAAACAACTTTGATCATAGCAACATGTATACTTACCCATATATTTCAATGGACTAAAGGATTTTAGAAGAGCAGAATGCTGTGTAAAACAGAAATAATCAGCATGAAACTAAAAAACACTTTATTCTTTGTTGACTTTTGCATGGGAGATAGGGTGTATATATAGCCCTTTTGTTAGAATCAACTGCACTCAAGTGTCAGAGTTTCCAAAGGCAAACCAACTGTGCTGAGATATAAAATAATACTGTTCCATGGCTTCACTTCTCACAGAAACTTAGGGCCAGATGCCATTCCTCCTCCTGCCACCACACCTAATTCACTGCTCTTTGGGTCTTGCATCCAAATCCTGAAGGCAATTCTATTTCTAGATCATTAGAGATAAACATCAACTAGAAGCAAAGTGAAGATTTATGGTTAACAGCCCCAGTGCTTTCTTTGGCAAAGAACATGAGGAACCATCATGGTTTGCTGTCTCATAATGCCAGTTGGCTTCTATGGCTAAGAGTTTCCTCCAGTAGGAGGGGGAGATGGTTTTCTCTAGCCTGGCTGCCTGCCTTTCCTGCACTGTGCTGGTTGCAACAGGACAAGGAAATAATCACAGTGTGTATTGCTCAACCTCAGTACCATTGACATTTTGGGTTGCATACTTTTTAGCTGTGGGTAGGGGCTGCCCTAGTAGGATACTCAATAGCTTCCCTGGTCACCACACATCAGATCCAAGTGTGCTCGCTTGCTTGTTCTCCCTCCCTCTCTCCCTCCCCCTCCCCTGTCCCTGTCCCTCTCTCTCTCTCTCTCACACACACACACATTGTGCCAAATGTTTAGATTACAAATATCCCCAAATGACCCCTGGAAGAAACCATCCCAATGGAGAACAAATGATCATAATACATTCCCAAAGTTGATTTTTTCCACATCCTTTAAAAATATCTTGACTTTCCTATTGCACAGAATGGGCTGCTCTACCTGTCATGCACTTGCTTGCCCTGTGGCTGAGAATGATTGGGCAAAGCTGACCCTAGCTGAGCCAATCATATTCTACCTTCTCAGAAAATACATTGAAGACACAGGGGCCTGAAGCTATACCATTATGTTGAGTGAGATTACAGAAGGTACCACAGACATAAAATCTTTATATCAGTCAATAATTTATGGGAGACTCAAAAGGAAAATCCTTGAGGAGGGAACCAGTCCACAGAGTGGAGAATGACGTTAAGAGCCATCAGAAGTAGTGTGTCCCATGAACAAAGAAAATGAGAACACAGCTGCAGGAAGATTTTGCAAGTATCACCAAAGCTGGCTGAATTTCCAATAATTGGTTCACCAAGAGTTTAAGTTTCTTAAAATAACTTGCCTTTTACTTACCCTAATTTGAGTGTGTTTCTCTTTCCAACCGTCTACTGATTCATAATGAAAACGCCTAACACAAGCTAATCTGGAAGAAGTTCTTTGCTGTCTGGATTCAGAGGAAAACAATGGATCCTCAGCCAAGACACCCAGGTTCTTTGTCTCATTCTGTGACTCTGTACTAATAAGTCTTTTCTCTGGGTTTTTATTTCATAACTGAAGAATCTGACTGATTCATACTCAGCTAAAAAATTATGAGAAAGACGTCTGTAATCCATTTGCATCTTAGACTCACTGAAGGTGCAGGCCAGACATGGCATGAATGCCTATTACTCTGGGTTCAGGAAACAGTCAAGCTCTGGATTACCAACCTTGGAGCCAATGGAGCACTGTATAACCCTACTAAATTCCCTGTTCATTCATGCTTGAAGTGTGAAGGCCAGGGGATATGCCCATGGAAATCAAAGTCTGAGATGAGCCAAAGATTCTGGCCTGATGGTATTTTTTTTCCTTAAAGGATGAGAGGTAGAGAAAAAGAGAAAGAGCTGTAGACAGACATACAGACATACACACACACAACTGAAGGAGGGAGGGAGGGAGGGAGGGAGGTTGGTTGGTTGGTTGGTTCTCATCCACTGGTTCCCTTCCCCTAAGGTTGCCACAGTTGAGGTTGCACCAAGCTGAAGCCAGGAGCCTGAAAGTCAATACAGGTTTCTGACACGGGTGGCAGGGGCCTAAGCAGTTGAGTCATCACTGCTGCCTTCGAAGTTGCAGATTATCAGAAAGCTAGAATGGGGGAGTGGAGGCAGGATTCAACCTCAGGTAAAATGACATGGGCTATGAGCATTCTAAGCAGCAGTATAACTGGCAGCCACATGTTTGTCCTTTAGGCTGCTGGGCTTTAAGCCCTTGCAGTCCATTCCTACATCATCCTGGACAGTGCCCCACAGTGCAGAATGACCTGGCTCAACACATCAGTGGTGCCAGGGTGAGAACCTCTGGTCCAACCTGAAAGAAACCCTCACATGAGTCTCTGACTTGGAGCAGACTCATTTTTAAGCCCTTGCAATCTATTCCTACATTGACTTTGGCTGGCTCGTATAACCAATAGGATACTGTGAACAGATCAAATGTAACTTGTGGCCTAGATATAAAGAACACTGTTGACTACTGGTTTATTTTCTTGGATTACTAGCAGCAAGGGAAGCTAGCCAACATACAATAAGAACACCAGGCTTCCATGAATCCACATGGCATAGAATTGTGACCATCTGCCAATATTCACATAAGAGAGTCATTTTAGACCCATAGCCAGCATAAGTCAAATCTTAAGATCTTAACAAGTTACAGGGAAGACATTGAGACCAAAATCGCAGCTAAGCTGAGTCCTTGATTCACAGAAACTGTGAGATAATATTTGCTGTTTTAAGCTATTAAGTTTGGGGGTAATTTGTTACACAGTAAAACATACACTTTATGGAATTGTTGGGATGAATTAAATAAAGTATCACATAAGAATTGTTTATCACAGTGCGTGGCACATGGTAAATACTCAGGACCATTCTATTTGTTCATCAATGTGTCCAAAGTACCCACAGGAGTATCTGGCATATAGCAAGAGCCCACTCAATATTTACTGAGTGAATATTAGGCATTGCTGTCTTTATTATTACCACCACCAGCATCATTCTATGTAGCTTCAATCTAAAATCATTTCCCAAATGAACTGGACCCTCAAATTCTTGACTGGAAAATATTCCTTTAACCTTCTTTAAAAGAATATCAAAGAATAGCTATTTGAAAATCAAAAAGCCACACATCTTAGTCTATTCTCTGTTGCTCTAACAGAATACCTCAGCCTGGATAATTTACAAAGAAGAGAAGTTCACTGGTCCACAATTTTGGAGGCTTGAAATTTCATGATCAAGGCACTGGTAGCAGCAAGGGTCTTCTTGCTGTATCTTCACATGGTGGGAGGCAGAATGGCAAGAGCAGAAGAGGGAGCTGAGCTCACCTTTATACACGGAATTAATCCCTCTGATGAAGGTGAAGACTTCATGGCTTAGTTACCACCCAAAGGTCCCTCCACCCCACACCACTACTGCACCAGATTTCAGCAGGAGTTTTGGAGTTTGAGTCTTTGGTGAGGGCTAGTGTGGAGATAATTTTCTAGCATTTTAGATGTACCTTGTTCATAATTCCAAGCCATAGTTAGAGAAACAAAAAAGTCCATTCCATGTAGTGAACATGTGAATGCAAGACTTGAGAGTAATGCCAGCCACTTACCATCCACACAGGAAGGTCGGTTTCTTGTGGTTCCTGCCACTTTCCCAGGGAGACAGGAACACTTCACCGTTTGCGACCGCTCCTCAATGCGGTTCTTGTTACAACATCTGTGTGCTGCTATCACCTCGCATGTCCCTCCTTCTGGCAAAAGAGAAAGAACAGGACATCTATGAGAAATAACTCAGGGGTGGTGTGGCCTCTGGGAGCCGGTGTGAAGTTACTGGGAAAGTGACAGAAACCGGAGCAACAGCTTCCATGAGGAACTCCATTTAACTATGTAAGATCTTGGGGAAGAGAGCATTACAGCTCTCTCCTTCTCCAGCACAAACGGCACCAATGAAGTCTTCTTAAGATGGGATAATACTGGGTTCCAGGAGGTGAGAGGCAAACAGCAGATACCTGCATCTAGCATGTGAAACAAAGACACCACCTGATGGAAACACATTGTATATATATATATAAAATTTGAAAGGCAGAGCAACAGAGAGAAACACACACACACACACAGAAATTGAGAAAAAGAGAGGTAGAATATCTTCCATTTGTTGGTTCACTCTCTGATTGTTCCCAACAGCCAGGGCTGGGTCCAGTGAAGGGCAGGAGCTGATATTCCATGTGGGTCTCCCACGTGGGTGGCAGGGGTCCAAGCACTTGGGCCATCTTGTACAGGTTTCCCGGGCACATTAGTAGCAAACTGAATCAGGGCAGCTGGGACTCAAATGGGCACTCTGATATGAGATGCCAGTGTGGCAGGCACTGATGCGACCTGCTACACCACAACACTGGCCCCAATGTATTATATTTTAGGGACCCTCATCTGTGCTGTTTTTAAACTGATACATTCCCCGAGTTCCCCCTAATGCCAAGGAACTGATGCTCTTATGGGACAGAAACTACAGTGGTAGGAAGACTGCCCGGAAACTGGCTCGCACTCACACTGCCTGCCCACACTCAGAGGCAGGATAGAAACCAGCTGAGAATCATGTTCCAAATCTAGCTCTCATCCACAACCAAAGAAAGCCTTGCTAGAGAAAATAGATGGATGCTTTAAACAGAATCTCTGATTGCAGGCCCGGGCATGTGGCTTCATTTAAATTATTACAGCACAACCATGCAGTCAGCATATTTATTGGCCACTTAATGTATGTCACTGGTGAGGTCCTCAGCAGGTGAGCTGCTGAGTCTGTCTAAAGGTTTATGAGCAATCAGGTCAGTCTTTCTGGTCAACAGGAAATCAGCCAAGCCAGACCTCCAGGTATGACTATGCAAAAGATGCTTCAAGTGACCAAAACCCAGAAATTAACTTTCCCAACATCAAGTTTTAAGTTAAAGAAGAATGTGTTCTTATTTGAGCAGAATGAGCTCATAACATTAAAGATTCTTGGTTTTGAGGATTCAGTGGGCAGAAATTCCAGGAAGCATTTGCTAAGCAACCACGATATACAAAATACTGTGTTATGAACTCTAAGGGATGTGTATATGTGCCATACACATAGAAGATACACATATGGACATATAAGAAACATTGAAAAAAGGGGTGGGAGAGAGGGGAGAGAGAAGGGACACGGGAGAAATCCCAATGTATTGCAGTGGGATTGGGGTGTGATTTTTTTTAAAAAAAGGATTTATTTTATTTATTTGAAAGAGTTAGAGAGGTAGAACTAGATATATATAGAGAGAGGTCTTCCATCCACTGGTTCACTCCCCAAATGACTGCAACAGCCAGAGATGTGCTGATCCAAAGCCAGGAGCCAGGAACTACTTCTGGGTCTCCCACACAGGTGCAGGAACCCAAGGACTTGTACCATCTTCTACTGTTTTCCCAGACCATAGCAGAGAGCTGGATGGGAAGGGGAGCAGCCCGGACTAGAACAGGATGCCAGCCATGCAGGCTGCAGCTTCAACCCACTGAGCCACAGTGCCGGCAACTGGGGTATGATTTTATGCTCCCCAATCATATTTGGCAAGTTTGGAGATAGTTTTGGTTGTGATCACTGGCATGCTCTTGGCATATCATGGGTGGAAAACAGGGATACTACAAAACCATCGACACTGTCCAGGATAGTGCCTCACAGGGCAGGATGATCTGGCTCAACACATCAGTGGTGCCAGGGTGGGAATTTCTGGTCCAACCTGAAAGAAACTCCCCACATGAGTCCCTGATTTGAGGCAGACTCATTCTATCTCAATCTCTTGCAATGGAATGGAGTGCCTGTGCTGGTCTTAAGCTTAGATCTGTCACTATTATCTGAGGCTAGCAGTTTCTTCATGTGGAAAGTGGGAATAAAGAGCCACACTTGTGTCACAGAGTCATGTGATAATAAACTAAGAAAACACGTACAGAGGTTGGCACCGAGCTTCACATGCTGTAAAAACTCTACAAACCTCGTCAATGATAATAAGCTCCAGAGTGACACCAGGGTTATTTTCTGGTGTCACCACCTTTCTGCTTCAGAAATTTCACACACACACAGTTTCTTCAGGGATATTCTCTCTTACTTTCTACCCCTCCACCCCCATCATCCCAACACGGTTCCATTCACCTATTTAAATTTCCTGAGAGCTTACCTCAAAGTTAGGTTCCTTGGAGAATGCTCCCTCTCTCCCATCACTGTTCACTCTTAGTACTGTGCCCACTTTTGGGTACTCCTATCTGCACTAACAGCTAAACTCTGCTTGCTCCAGATCAGGGTCAGGGTCAGGGTCATTGCTTGTCTCCACACATCTCTAGCATTCAAATGAATTACAATTTTTGGCATCAAAATAAAGTTACCTTTAAACTTAATTCTTCCAAAAATTGTTGAAGTAGCCCCATAGTTGGAATGGGAAACCCAGTTCCTTTGAAATAATCAGGACAGTAACTTAAGTTATAAGTTGCAATCATAACACAAGACTATGAGGTACTTTAAAACAATTTTTTTATTTTAGATTTTCAGAAAATTTGTGAAGATTATACTAAGTCATTTTTTTCTTCTTTTTTTTATTTAGTAAATATAAATTTCCAAAGTACAGTTTATGGATTACATTGGCTCCCCCCCCATAATTTCCCTCCCACTTGCACCCCTCCCATCTCCCGCTTCCCCTCCCATTCCATTCACATCAAGATTCATTTTCAATTATCTTTATATATAGAAGATCAATTCAGTATATATTAAGTAAAGATTTCATCAGTTTGCACCCACATAGAAACACAAAGTGTAAAAATACTGTTCCAGTACTAGTTATAGCATTAAATCACAATGTACAGCACATTAAGGATAGATCCCACATGTCAAGTAAGTACACAGTGACTCCTGTTGTTGACTTAACAAATTGACACTCCTGTTTATGGCATCAGTAATCTCCCTAGGCTCTAGTCATGAGTTGCCAAGGCTATGGAAGTCTTTTGGGTTCGCCGACTTCGATCTTAATCTGACAGGGTCATAGCCAAAGTGGAAGTTCTCTCCTCCCTTCAGAGAAAGGTACCTTTGATGACCTGTTCTTTCCACTGGGATCTCACTCACAGAGATCTTTCATTTAGGTGGTGGTTTGTTTTTTTTTTTTTTTTTTGCCAGAGTGTCTTGGCTTTCCATGCCTAAAATACTCTCATGGGCTCTTCAGCCATATCTGAATGCCTTAAGGGCTGATTCTGAGGCCAGAGTGCTGTTTAGGACATCTGCCATTCTATGAGTCAGCTGTGTATCCAGCTTCCCATGTTGGATTGTTCTCTCCCTATTTTGTTCTATCTGTTAGTATTAGCAGACACTAGTCTTGTTTGTGTGATCCCTTTGACTCTTAGACCTATCAGTGTGATCAATTGTGAACTGAAGTTGATCCCTGGACTAGTGAGATGGCATTGGTACATGCCACCTTGATGGGATTGGATTGGAATCCCCTGGCATGTTTCTAACTCCACCATTTGGGGCAAGTCCGATTGAGCATGTCCCAAATTGTACTTCTCCTCTCTCTCTTATTCCCACTCTTATATTTAACAGGGATCACTTTTCAGTTAAAATTTAAACACCTAAGAATAATTGTGTGTTAATTACAGAGTTCAACCAATAGTACTAGAACAAAAAAATACTAAAATGGATAAAGTATTACATTGTACATCAACAGTCAGGACAAGAGCTGATCAAGTCACTGTTTCTCATAGTGTCCATTTCACTTATACTATACCCTGTTGTCTTCTATCTTTAACCCCTTTTGCTAACATCTTACATTAGTATGGGGCATTTTTAATAATTGAGTCAATACTGGCACATTATTATTAAAGAAAGTCTAGGTTTTCTTCAGAATTCCTTAGTTTTTACCTAATGCCTTTTCTGTGCCAAGTTCCCATCAAGGACGCCACATTACATTTAATTGTCTTAGTTCTTTAGACTTCTCACAGTTGTAGCAGTTTCTCAAATATTCCCTACTTTGTAATGACATTGCCAGGTCTGTGGAATATTGGCCCACACTGCTGGAGATTTGTCTGCTATTTTTCTCTTGATTAGACTGAGTTACAGGTTTTTGGAGGGAGACCCCAGAAGTAAAGTACCATTCTCATCGCATGATATCAAGGTACATCTCATCAGCATGATCCTCACTGTTGATGTTGACCTTGGTCACTTGGCCAAGGTTGTGCTTCTTAGACTTCTTCATGGGCAAACATTTTTTCCCTCCCCTGTTCCATACCACACTCTTTGGAAGGAAGTCACTGTGAGAACAGTCCACCACCTTGAAAAATTAGGAGCTTTGTTCCACCTCTTGAGGTTGTAACATGTATTAAAACTGCTTAAAACTCTTCATGAGAGGTTTGTCTCATCTCTCCTATTCATTTCATGTAATCAGTAATTTACTTCTATTAGCATTGACTCTTGGGCATTTATTTTCTATTTTACATTGTAGTCATTAATTATCTGTTAATTATATTATAATTAATATATTAATTAATCAATATATAATTATATTATTTATGTAGTTATTAATAGTGTTAATTGCTTAGTGTTCAGAATGTTCTGGCTTTGACTACTGTGAGAACTTCCTATGGCCCTCCGACATATCCCAGTCACCGTGGGTTTGTTGTGCATTATGGACTTTCTTATTTTCTGACCCTATGAGATAGTCTATGATCACCTTATATATTTCCTATCCTCGTCCTAAAGTCAACCATT